GGTTGATTTATGAGAGACGGTTCCCTCGGTCTTGCAAGTTCACCTTTCTCAAAAGCGGAACGAACTAAATGTAACTGAAGATCTAGATCTGACCTCCACCTCCGGGGAAAGAAGCATAGAAACAAGGGTGCCCATTGCATTCTGATCCTTGAGGGGGGGGGACAAGCGCCCTGCGGGGGTTGATAATCTGAATATTGTTGTTTGGTGTTTCAAGAAAATGCAGGCGGCTGATGCAGGCTTATCGATTGGCAGCCGAAAAAGAATGGACAAGCGCCAACGGGTCTGAACTTTTTCTCGCTGGAGCTTCATTCTGTGGCCTCACAACCGCCAGACGTGAGGTTCGGAGAGAGGACACTTGTTTTCCGCCTGCCTTGGAAGGGAAAAAAGACAAGGGAAAGAAAAGAACAAGCATTTTTCTCACCCCAAGACTCCAGTACCGAGCTTTTTGCACAAAGGTTCTGGATTTTCCTCGATGTTTCCATCGCTGACAGCGGATCGTAATTTCGCTTACAGCCTGGCTGGGGGGCAAGTTCAGCGAAGCTCAGGTCCACCGACATCCAGAACTTGCCGGATGTATGCCGAGATAGGGAAGGCGCCGGGAGTTGATTACACGTGGGAAAACTGTCGTGAGAGGGCAAAGGTTGAGTTGCGTTGCAGCGAAGGAGGGGAACGACGAATCGATGAAGGAAATGAAGACCAGCCCAGATTCAATATAGTTGCCGATCCCACACAGGAAGAAAACCAAGGCAAAAGTCGGGCATGGCTTAGACGGGAGTGAGATGGATTCTCAGCCGCTTTACAAGTGTGCCGCATTCCGAGTTGGGATTCGAGCCTTTTTCGTAAAATGTCGCAGGTGTCTGGAGTCTCTCCACACAAGTTGTTACAAACCGACACCGGGCGTGCGGGAAGCGGTCGTTCAAGTTGTTTTCAAACTTCAAAAGAGTATTGCCGTCCGGCCTTGTCCTTTCCACGGTATCTGAATTGAGTTGTGCTGTCCTGCCCAGTGAGCCAGTACAAGTGGGATATGACCAAGGCACAGCAGCAAACTCTCTACACTACATATACTATGAGGCGAGTGATTTCCCTTTGCTATCCCTTGCTGTTTGTGTGTGGGTGACAGTGACTCGTCACCACTTGCCCACGCCCAATACATAGCGACTCCCCGCCGTGCCACCCGGACCCAGAATTTGTTTCTGCAGAGCCAGCGGCGTGGACTTGTGCCCTGATTTTTTATGGCTGACCCACATCAGAGCTGATTCCGTACCTGCATAACCGGGCTGAGTGTCATTGGTGCGTGCCTCGTGATGGTGGGCCGCGCTAACAGCCGAGAGGTCGATCCATCTTTTTCTGGTCCCGCTCGACTATGGTTGGCTCCGGGTGCCACAACATCACAGCAACCTCGTCGCTTTTTTGTCTTTTAAAAAAAGGAAATCGAGGGCGGCGCGTCTTGGTGAGTCCTGCCTCCCTCGCCTCTTCGTTTTGCCTCAGCTTCATTCATTGCCGCGCGTCCATCGGACTAGTGTTTCCGGCCAGTGGAAGCGACTCGATAGTCGACTGATGATGGAAAGCAGTTCGTTTCTTTGTCGTCCGATGTTGAACCGGACACATCGATGCGAGTGCAAGGTACCTTATGGCGTCCCATCCTTTGTATAAAGGACAACGCCCACGAAAAGTGATCAAAGGCACACTTAGGTACCTAAGAATCAAAATGTGGCCCAGGTATCCAGGGGACAAACGCGCCTTGGAGCATTACGAAGCCAGAGGATACCGAAGGGCCCTAATATCTGGCGGTGCTCCTTCCAAGTCGCCGTGACCGGCGATTCCGATCTCGACCCTCGCTTGTTACGTACGTAGTGTGATTGCGAATTTATTTCGAAATGTGTATCTGTGGAAAGATCCCATTCGTGGGCGGACGGTTGTTTCCACTTGCTTCTACACTACTGAGTGGGACCCTACTTTGTTGTCTGACGCGCTACGTGCCTGCCTTTGTGTGCTCACAACGGGACGGGAGCATGGGAGGAAGGTTTGCAACTCGGGTCCCCTGCCCTTGCCGCCAAGATGTGGTCTCAGGTACACTACACTACACACGCCATGGATCTCGTTCCTGCCGTGCGTTCCCACAACCGGGGACCTTACCCCTGGCGGTTACGTCTCACCGGGCAGGTCAGGTCTGGAAGCCTTTGAGTCCCCACTGGACCACCCCTCCTCCTCCTCAGGCGGGCTCCTCGTTCAAGTTTTTGCTGGGCTCCATCGAATGACCCATTGATGTGTGTCCGTTTGTTGTCTATCCAACCTGAGAGGCGCCCTGACCCCCCAATCAATTATAAGACCCAATCCCCCCCCCCCCCCCAGTCCTCGCGGCCCGCTCATCCCTCTTCCTTCCTGATCTCCCCATCACGCTTCTCTTTTGGGCATTTTCATTCTCTCGTGTCCCTTGACTGCTTCATCACCAGTCCCACGCTCCCTCAGCACCACCTCGTTATCCACATCCGTCCGGTCGCTAGCTTCGATCGACGTTCCAGCCAACCCATCCAGATCGGCAGCATTCCTTGTGCCCCCGCCTTGGATCCGCGACTGTTAACTCATACATTCCTTTCCAGCCCCATCCGCCAACCGCCTTCGTATCTGGTTATACGCCGTCTCAGCATCATTCCCTCATTAAGCGCTGCTGGACAAGTTGCGACACTCCGCATTATCCTTCCTCTCGACACTGAACATATCCATCAAAATGGTTTCAAAGTCCCTTATCGCCCTGGCGGCTGCCACCTTCGCTGGCGAAACTCTTGCTGCTAGCATCCATCGCGGTCATGAACACCATCACCTTGGCAAGAGGGACATGGTTACCCAAATGGTGACCCGTACTGCCTGGACTACCGTCACCGTCACTCTTGGCCAGAGCGTCAACGCTGCTCCGACCGCCGTCGACAACAACACCAAGCTTACCAAGTCCCGTTCGCCCAGCTCTAGCACCGCCGTCGCTGCGCCGGCCGAGGCTAGTTCTGCTGCGCCCTCGAGCAACACCATTGCTCACAACGTCAACGTTGTCGATGCTGCTGCCAGCCCGTCTGCCACACAGAACAGCGCCCCTGCTGCGACCCCCTCCACCACCACCACCACTGTAGAGTCGACTGAGGACCAGTCGAGTGGTCACCGCCTCCAGCGCGGTCTTGCCTACAACGACGGCAAGCTCCTCCAGGGCTTCCTTGGAAGTGGCTCCAAGGCCACGTGGGTTTACAACTGGGGTCAGGTGGACGATTCTGGCACTGGTCTTGAGTTTGTCCCCATGCTTTGGGGCGTTGACAAGGGTTTTCCCCAGTCCTGGGACGCCAATGCCCAAAAGGCTATTGACGCCGGCTCCAAGGCGTTTCTCAGCTTTAATGAGCCTGACCTCAGCTCTCAGTCAAACATGTCTCCGCAGGATGCTGCTGCTAATCACATCAAGTATATGAACCCCTGGGCCGAAAAGGTTCGCATCAGTTCTCCGTCCATCACCAACTCTGATGATCCGAACATGGGTCTCAACTGGATGCAGAAGTTCTTCGATGCCTGCAACGGACAGTGCAAGGTGGATTTCTTGGCCCTTCACAGCTATGGAACTGACGGACCCACCGTCCTCAACCACCTTCTCGATGCCTACAGCCGCTTCGAGAAGCCCGTCTGGGTCACCGAGCTTGGCTTTGACGGCGATGACGACAAGAAGAACCAGGCTATGGAATACGTTCTTGATCACTTGGAGAACAACTCTACCTTCTCGTTCGTGGAGAGGTTCACCTACTTCATGGTTGCGGAGGGTGAGATGTTGCGCAACTCGCAACTGACCACCTTCGCCAAGACTTTTGCCTATGGTGCTTAAGCAGTTATACCATCTGTCACTTTGAGAAGATTTAACTATGGACTTGGTTCTGCATGTTAAAAGATCTTGCCAGTTTTGGTTCAAGCTATCACCATCTCCGCAATCTTGGTCTTAACCATAGGCTTTGTTTTCTTGTTCTCACCCTTTCGCTTAGCTGTCTTTGAAATATCCTGGGAACAAAGGAGTGGCGCATTAGGATGGATGGAGAATAAGAAGGAGCAGTATGGATTGACGGGTGGACAAAAACTGGCTTTGCCTTATTTTTATTTTTTTGAGGAACGTTTCTTACATCTTACACTCCATTTCTTTGTGCATAAATTGCATCGCAAACTTTTTTTTTCTTCCTTCTTCATACCCGTACGACTTGCAATCACGTCTACACATCGCAATCCTTCTTTTGACGATGTTGCCGTTTTGCATGGACGTCTTTTTACAATCACACATGTTGAATCACCCACATGTGTTTTTTTTTTCTCAACTATTTTCAAGCTTTGTATGTATGGAAAACAAGGATCAAGGCAAAAGGCTATGATGATATCAATGAACGACGTTTCACGATGGCATAGAAGAGGACGGCGAATACCTGCTGGATGGGGAGTCCTCGTGTGCATAAAATGAAGATCATTCCACAGAGAAGAGGAATCCGAGTATCTGCCAAATGACGGTGTAAACGTCACCACTTTATTTTACAGTGCCTACACTATCACCAGTGCTTGCGTCCCGATGTGCATAGTTGTTCCTTTACGATGTCAGCCTGTCAAAAGCATTCTGTTTCGTGTTGGCGGAGTGTTGATGTTTAGTTGAGGTGAAGGTGTGCATCATGCCATATAGGTAAGCTTGGCATGTGCACTTACAGCCCTACGCTAACCGTACTGTAACTGCGACCCTGGCAGGTGTCATCTGAACCGGAGCGGGCCTTTCTGTGCGTCCCTTGGCAGCGGGTCGAGAGCGGGCATACAGGGCCCCCGGCCTGCGACGCTTAACTCCGGAGCCAAGCCCTAACAGATTGAAACTTTTACTTGCCCCTGAATGAGATCCTACTCCTATATATCAATATCGACGTCGTTCTGGAATATGATTTGGGTATGATTGTGCAATAATCTTTCGTTCTCATCAGGTATAACTATGTGTCTCGGATAGTCTTGCACTTCGTTAAAATCAGCACGCATAGACAACTCTCTCGTTTGGGTATCCCATGTCCGCTCATGCAACATGACTATCAAGCGTATTCGATCCCTTTTAATCAAAACAAACCCAAGCCACCGTATAACCAAAGCGTCCAAGAACCTCCATGGAAGTTTCATTTCGGATCACTGCCCGTGCCACGACTTGCACGGCTTCCGCGATTCTGTTGTCCACTCAAGGTGATGACGGTATCCCTACGGCTGCGATTACGGCTGTTGCTGTGACTCGCCTAAGGGTCACTGCTATCTTCGTATCTCCGCGACGAACTCCTTCCACGCCTCCATCCGTCACTGCGGCCACCTGTTGCAATCACGACGCTGTTTCCCAGCTTGACCCCTGCCGCCTCGCTGGCTTGGGTGAGGCTGGATCCGTAGTCAACGTCGATGCGCACCTCTGTCGGGGAGATCTGGGTGGTGGGCACTAGCGGTGATATCGAGTCACTGGTGCCCCTCTTCCTGGGACTCAGTGATATCATGCGTATCTCGTCTGAGTCGTCGGTTGCGGATCGCTTCAGGTTGTCTTCGTTGAAGGGGTTGTTGGCGTTGTTGCTTGACAATGTGTCGTTCAACTCCATCGGATCCGTGCTGTTTAGGGCAATGTCCCCTATATCGTCTGCTATGGGCTTGGTGCTTGGAGTGGGCCTTGGTGAAAGGCTGCTACTGTTGATACTGGCACGGTTTGTCGATGAGTTGTTCTTTTGCTCTAGCATCCCCCCGTTGGCTTGCTGTCGTGATCTTCGGAGATCGTAGACATCCTCGCCATGGTTACTGTGTCTTTGTTGCGACATGGTCTGAGAGTCGATGTTGTTGTTCGAAGCGATGCTGTCCCGTGAAGTAACCCATTGGATGACGATGGCGCTGAATAAGACTGATGAAGGTCAGTATGTCACCAAGATACACAGCCAGTTGACTTACTATCACTATTACAACACATCAGACACACCCATCCAGGTTCGCCATTCAAACCCATGAGCACTGATAGGTTGCTGTCAGAACGTTAGTCAGGGCCAAAATCAGGAGCCTTGAGAAGACAGATCTTACACGACGCTGCTGGTGAGTGTGCAGATGCAACCAATAAGGGTCCGCATGGCCACCAGCTTCAGTCTTCTATTTCCCCGAGTTTGCTGAGAGCTATTAAAGGCATAGAGGCCTGATAGAGTCAATTACCGTAAGATAAAACTATATGAGGAGGACCTATTACCTAGTAATGGCAGCACGAACAGAATGGTGAGGTAAACCTAAATCGTCAGCACGGGTATATTGATTACCGGAAGAGGAGAGGCAAATGGGACTAACTTACATTGACGAGCAGGTCGTAGACAATGAGTGGAATCATGGCGTATCTCTCCATTCCGATTATGCACTGTTTGTGTTCTATCTTTGTGATGCGACTGCGGCACTGCTCGTTAGTGATTGAAAGTGGATCTCGCTGTGAAGTGTACAACATACTAAATGAAATTGAGGACCACAACGACGCAGTAAGCACCTTCTAACTGTTAGTCTTGTTGATCTACACTTTTTTGAGTTTGAGGCAACAAACCAAGTACCACAATGGTGTTGAAAAGGTAGAGCTTGGAGTGTATCCGGAGTTTCTTGCTTCCGGATCGGATAATAAACTGTTCCCAATGTCAGAGGTCTGGCCTAATTATCTGGAAAGAGTTATAACCGACCGCTTTCTCCACCAGAAACATGTAAATAAGCTTCAAGATAGGATGTTAGACAATTTTCCGAGTACTCAATATTTGGGTAACCACGTACAATCTAGAAGTAAGGTCAGCTGGTCTTCTTGCACGTTCGACCCTGTCTGGACACCATACCTTTGTTGTGACGTAGCAGGCCAGACAAAGTAAAATGGCCGACTCGCAGATGGATGCCGAGCTATCAACACCGAAGCCAAATTGGAGTATGGCAGTAGCAAACACAAACAAAAAGGAATCGGCGTAGATGGCGAAAACCACTGTGAGGACATGTCAGTTGTGAGGCCGAAGACATACCGATGCCGACCTGGCGAGCAACTGCACGCTCCGGGCGGGACCTACTCCACTGGACGGGGGGAAGTCTGCTCCAGACTTTGACCGCTAAAAATCTTTGAGCTGTTTGTAAAATGAGTCGTATCGGTTCAGTTCATGCCCCAACCAAAGAAAGGGTCGACAAACAAAGTCCACTCACTCAGAAAACTGGAGATGATAACCAGAGAGATCATGGCAAGAATGACGCTAATAACCATGCCGGCAACGGGCTCCTCGCCTGACTCCGACTCTTCCATCTTTATGTCGTTCCGTCGGGTGCTGACAAGCGGCGGGACCATGATGATGGCAATCGATCCATCAATCACACGAATGCGAACATGTGGCGGTTGTAGCCAGGGGCTGCAAATGCCTGTGTATGTTGTTCAAATGGATTGTGTTCTTCTTTGCAAGCGCAATAAAGTGAACCATCCAAACTGGTTGTCGGCAATCTAGCATCCAAAGTACGATCAGGAAGGTAGCCAAACATGAGTTGGAGAGAGAAATGAGAAGAAAAGAGGATCGTGGCCACAGCCGCAAAGAGAAAAGAAAGAGGAGTGTGCTAGAGGGTCGCAGTTTGTATGTGTCCGGATAGGTATCTTTCAAGTGATCAAGCCAAGTCGAAGTAGAGTAGGACACCCAAAGGTATCCGAGTAACGTGAGTCGAGGCTGATGTGGAGGTTTGTTACAGAAAAGGCTCGAAGACGAGGATCGCCAAGTTCTCAGCTAGGAGTGGAGGTAGAAGTCCAGGAATATGAGGGCGCCGTCGTCGGCAACACAAGCGTAACCAAATCTAGCCAAGAAGAAAATGGGAAGTCGTCGAGGTTGCTGCTGCTAGGGATGGCACTATACTGCAGGGAGTCCACCATTACTCCTGGGTGAGTTCAAGGTGAGGTGACGGGGTTTGTAACGAAAGGTTAGATGGCAGTTAAAGAAGGAACTGGGGAAGATGAGATCACCTAGGCGGGGAGATCGGTGTGAGATGGAATACGTAGTAAAAGTGCGAGTGGTCGGGGATCGCGCGCAGGGACGGGCAGACCCGACAAGGATGGGAAATTGAAGAACGAGTCGTCTCGATCCATAGTTTCAAGACCTTCCAAAAAATCACCCGCCTTCGCCTGGGTAGCTCTTTCCTTGGCCACCAGACCACCCGAAAGAGGACTGACGGATCGATGCAATGCGAGTTCACATTTCGGTCTTTGGGCGCCCAGATGGGAAGGAGCGCGACAAGTGTTCAAGCCACATACTGCTGTTGTACCACCTCACCGGCCATGGCCACTTAAGAAAGAACCCAGCGAGAAACAAAAAGGTGTCGATTATTGACACCTCTTTTGCACGTTATGAAGAAGGAGAAAACAGAACAAGACATTTTTCCATGCTGCAAAACGGGTTGGGTTGGTGGAGGATGAGTGATGAGCGAGTGTCCTGGCGGGTTCGTCGCTCGCGGCTGCCAAAGTAGGTAGAGGTATGCATGGAGACACCAGCGTGGAAGTCGCTGTTCTGTTCTTGCAGGTGGATGCCAAATCTGCAGCCCCTGGAGAGCCTAGGTACCTCCGCTGCACCTCACATACTTCGACTTTTCCTTGCCAGGCCTGCATCTCGATTTAAGATGCCGAGTCTCACCTTGGGCGCCTACAGTCTTATCGCCTCCACTGATTGACGCTGGAGTATACACATAGGTAGAAAGAAAGAATATCGAGGGACTCCCTGGCCACAACCGATGTTAGCCATCATCCCTTCTAGCTATATGTGTATAGACCGTTCTTTTATGTTCGACAAGAAGCACGAATACCATATCGAACCGCCATGAGTAATCCTCCAAACCCCAGCAGTTTCCCAGCTTACCATTTCTTTCACGATACCCAGGGCAGCACCCACGGAGCTGAACCACCACTTGTCTCTGGATACCCCTGATAGTTCCAGAAGCGTACCACCTCAGATGCTCGGAATGTGTAACCACAGGCAGGCACGACCACAAACCAGCTTGGGTAGGTTCCCTTGGTATCCCACTGCAAAGGTGTCATGTTGCTGTACTCCCTCTTCTGTAGTTGCAGCAGCAGCTACTGCCGAAGACGGAGGGAAATCACTTACGCTAGAACTGTAGTCGCCAGTAACTTGGAACGAACCCAGCAGGAAGCTACTAGTAAGGTACCTAGGTAGTTATGTGTAACAGATGTGGCGGGTTAATGGATGAAAGCGGTCATCGTGTTTCATCCTCTCCAGGTTGGTGGCGAGAGTTCGATGAAATTGAGACAAGGAATGAATCATTCCCTTGCTGTTTCCGCGGTCACGCGTCAACTGTGGACTCTCGATAAACCTTCGAGGTATTTATGCGGGTGAAAATAGGACTGACGCGTTGCTTCATCGTCACTTTAACCGTCTTGGAAACCTAAAACTACCTATAGTAGCAGATCATCAATGGAAAAAGGGCAAAGAAAGCAGGCAGCGGAAGAGAAAAGACCAATTTACGCAGTCCGGGATTCGAACCCACGTCTTTGCACGTGCAGTGGTGACTTCTATTCAAAACCTTTACCCACAGAGTAGGTCTCTGAAAAGAGGTTCGATACTATATTTATATCCAGGGAGTTCAACCTACAAGCAGAGTGATGTGCTTGGCCACTACACCAACCGCGCTGTTTCCTGTTGTCGCAAAGAGGACTGCCTATCTGTCTGATGGATCAGTACTTTTCCAATACAGCTTGTAGTGCTGACGATGAATATAATTATAGCTACCTATTCATGCGTACCAACCCAAGTCATCCATTTGTTAGTTCTGTCCGCTTCCAAAGGTCTGCACTTTTTTGTTCTGCCCATCCCGTTCTGTTGAGCCGGCTAAGGCGGGCAGACCTTGAGAGGCCCGAAGCGCAACCACCACATGTCTTTTGTTTCTCGGTAGCCTCCAGAGAAACATACGAAACCTTTTTTACACTTCCAATCCATACCCAAAAAGGCGTTAAAATGCACCGAGGTATAATGTCCTACCCTTGACATGAACCATACCAGTAGGAAAATTGAACAAGACGCAAGTGCAACTTTAACCCGTCTATGTGTGGTATCAAAAACTCGACTCAAGTGTACCAGGCATTTTCAAGGAAAGATAACCAAAAAAAAAAAAAAAAAAAAAGAAAAAAAAAAAAAAGCCGGAAGTGACGTGCTCGTTTGAATGACAAGGTATTGGACATTATTCTCAACATGTCATTATTCAAAGTACAACACCATCCCTCTGAGAGCCGAGCATCACGGCGTGGGCGTGGGTATATCTACCTCTGTTGGTTGTGGCTGCGCCTGACTTGGAGGCCGTGATGCCCTAAGTCTGCCTCTGAATCGCTCAGCGAGTCTCGCTCGGTGAGTAGAATCTGTGGATTCGCCGTTATCAGGATCGCTTGTTAATGACGATCCTGTGACAGACCGTCGTTGTTGCTGCTGAGACCTATGTCTTCTCAAGATTTCCATACGTTCTTCGATAGAGGCAGCCCGAAGTCTGTGCAAGTCAAGAATTCGCAAAGACCTTCGCCGCTCTCTAGGGGCGGTGCTTGGCATGGGACTTCCACTGGTGCCGGGCTGCTGGGCGTTGTCGCCTGCTGCTGTTGGCAAAGACACTGAGTGATTATCGCCAGGGCCGGTAGTGCTTTCGATTGAGCTGTGGGGTCGAAGATCGAGACGACTGCAGACGGTTAGTATGTCGCTTTCCATCGTCAAAGACATTCACCAAACCTACCATAGAGGGCAAGTGCCCGAGATATTTACCAGCCAAGGGTCGACGCAAGCTGGGTGGTACCTGTGGTTGCAAGGGAGAACCCGAACATCTTCACCAATCGTGAAATCCTCGGTACAAATTGGACACCCCAGATTGATGTCGTCTGAGGTCGTATTCTCAATGTCGCCGGCTGTGTTGGTCATGCCCGTTTGAGCCCCATAGACTGTTGCCGACGAAGCCTGTTCGGATGCCTCCACACTCGGTACAGTCATGGGTCCTTGAGATTTGGCTATAGATGGTACCGTCTCTTGGATTGCTGACAATTTTGCTCGTGGCGTTGGATCCTGTGATGACCTGGAGGGTTGCTGTTCAAGCTGGAAATCGGGATCCGGCTTGGCTGGGGATTTCTCTCCAAACTTGACGATAGGCAAGGTTTCAAGCACTGCACGCGCCAGCCCTTTGGCTCTGCTTTGACTAGGCCGTCCGCCGTAGCCGGGCCTAGGTCCGTATCGCTCCGGATAACGATGGGCTCGGATCGCTCCGGTCGCGATAATAGCGAGGAAGAGTAGGGTAATGACTCCGGTAATACTGTAGAGAATATTCATGGCGATCGGTGAGCCATGCCCGGTTCGATCTTCGTCGTCATCATCGTCAGGTTCCTCATAATCCCCAGTAATAGTGGCTAAACTGCCTGACATTGTGAGGTTAAGCGTGTCTCTTGCATCGATTTGGTCGGTCATGGTGAAAATAGTAGTGTAGTTCCAGTCATCCGTGCTGTCGCGTCTGCAGCCAGCCCCGGCCAGGCTAAACAGCAGAATAGCTTTTGGTGCCTTGGCCATGAGCTGGTCAAAGAGGGAGGTTGAGTTAGGGTTGTCGCAGTTGAGATATGCGATACTGTTGGAGTCGATAAACTCGAGCCAACCGCCTTCTTCAGTAGGAACCATTGTCCCCTTGATTGTGATAGACTAACTGGGGGCATTAGTGAAACTTGCACTTTTAGTTATGCCTTTTTTATGTTTCTGATGGTGGCCTACCTCCCGAGCTATGACGGACTGGTTCATCCCAACAGCTTCAGTCAATGGGACAACTCGGTGTCTGATCGGCTTGGCGTCACCTGAACCTAAAGGTACGGTAAGTTGTAGGGTGAGATATTGGTCTTGCTCCCAGTCCGAAAGCTCTGGCACGGAACTAAGCGCATTCGCGACTGAGATTACTAGCGTAACGACGGCAACAAACAAAAGTTTGCCAAGGGCGGCGGCAACGGTTGACGTCGTCATGTTTAGGTTTTCAAGTAGAGGTGATGCGATAATGAAAAGGAGGGTCCGAATCCACGATGCGACAATCCGAATTCTTGCTGGTTGGGGAGGATGAGAGACGCCTGATAATAAGGGCCGGATCCTGGTTGTCTGGACTAAGAGACTAGGAGTCTCACATCTCCGTGTACCTTAGGTATGAGTCGGACAGGAAGGACAGAACATGGCTGAGCCGTCACGCTGGGTTGGAATTGATGATTTGGAATTAATCGGTCTTGGGATCGCCCCGCGGCGGCTTGGAGTGTTGATACGCGACGCAAATGCCCTTTTGAGGTGATGAGATGAGATGGGGCTGAGGACAGTTGTATAGGTTGCGCCAAAGAGTATTTGCGAAATTGATACCTACCTTAGAGGTAGCGTAAAAGGAAAGACGCTGAAGCGCTGTTCTGGTAGGTCCCGTCAGACGTTCGTTTTAGATGCAAGAAAGTGAAAAAGGAAGTGGACGGACGGAAAGCAGCGGAGGCCAGATAGCGAGCGAGGTACACTACACCTGTAGTGTTTACAAGGCCGCCGGGCCACGTGCAGGGCAAGCGCTGACGGCAAGGTAGGTAGGTAGAGTAGTACAGGCAGGTGGTATCCCCAAGCTCGGAAGCTTGGCTGACTCTTGGCTTCCACTTCTTCGACTTGGCTCCTAACAACACAATATGAATGGATCGACGGCGCGGCGGCGTTGCAGTTGGCAGGATTGCCGACACTACAGTATCAACAGCGGTTGATACGCTCTGATTCGCCCGAGGATCTATGTGTGTGTAAAGGTTGACAGTCCGTGGCGTCGTAGGCTTGTGTTTCGTTGTAAATAATTCAGAGTAGGATGCGACAGATGGTGTGCCGTATGAATGGGCATCCTGTTAGAGCTTGAGGTTGGACTGCATGTAGGCCGGGGCAGTGCTAGGGCGTGTTACTTAGGGAAGCAAAGATGGGCAACGCATTGGAAACACCGGTAGTCGCATAGTCCGTCTACTATCCAATCTGACTGCGAGTGCAACTAAAAGTCGACGAACACCAAATGCGTTCAGTAGTGTAACCGAACTTACTCAATCCGAACCTAGAACTGAAGCATTCCGTTCACATGGGCCCCAAGCCGGTCAAGACAGGCACCTCTTCGATAGCTCCGTGACCCGCAGCCGTTGAAAACACTGGACGCCGCAGTTGTGAACAGAATGCGGAGATTCGCTGTGCTATCGCCGTACATGTAGGGCAGAGGCATGTTTGGGGTTTCCCCCGTGTCTGTGACACCGAAATCGGTTTTAGCGCTCATCATTTCGCCATATCTGCGCAAGGCAGGCACTACCCCGGCGTGGTGTCAGGCAGACTCAACACCACAAACAGCTTTTCTACCTCTATCATCCAATAACCCGAGCGCTAGACGTTCCTTTGCCTCTCCCGAACTCTATATCTGGATGACTGATCGCTAGTAGCGAGGTGTTTGACAATGTAATTCTTGTCGCATTCAACATTCTGCCGACTGTACCGGAGAAGTTGAGAGGTAGACTTGTGAACGGTTTGGTTTTCACCAGTCTAGTCTCGTCGAGGAACCCGTTGCCGTCAAGTTCGACGCGGTCAAGTTTCTCTTTTCATTTGCCTGATCTGTCATGCCATGAAATCTTCGGCTTGCTCGGAACGTATTGGCGCAGCTTAATCACCTATCGAGGCCAGCCGCTTACCCATCATTTACCAAAGTGGTAAGCATAGTATACTGACTGTCGTCAGACATGAAAACTGATACAACAATGGACGTGGCGATAAACTTCGGGTCGCTGCTTGAAACAAACGGAGCGGACCTAAAGTCCCATGGTTCAAGAACGTTGAGTTAGGTGGATGGCTGCAGTTAATTAGCCCTGTGGCGTCTTCCATGGCTTCGTGGAAGATTCCATTCCGTTGAACTGACATGGATGTAAATTGCATGTTTGTAAGGGGTAAAGACTTTGGTTGACGGACATTGACCCTTTACTCGCATAAAGCTTTGCGAGAGCATCGAGAATCCATGCGGTGAAATCGTCACGCAATATGGGCTCGGCTAACCACAGACCACAGTATTGACGGAGCACTTTTTTTTTTTTTTTTTTTTTTTTTTTTTTTTTTTTTTTTTTTTTTTTTTTTTAATGTCGTCTTTAGTCGGCTTTGTTGGCTTTGATCAAGCGACATCAAGGGTCTTGCTGTGTTCAACATTGTGGATGAGCGGATGGTTTCTGAACTCCATGTACTACCGGATGCGCACTGGCGGTGGAAGGGTATCGTAAAGGGAAACTCGAGATAAACTTCTTCCATCATTCATCAATCAGTATCAAAATGTCTCGTCGAGGGAATGGAGAGGAAGGTTGTGCGGTTCCAAGGTAATTGACCATATCTTGTCCAGAAGAGGCGACCATCGACCGGCGTGCCTTGAGCTAGAGAAGCACTCATGGATAAACAGATGCCATCTTTGTCGCTACCCTTGCAGTCCAAGTACGAGCAAGCCGAACAGAATCACCTGACGTTATACGCCGGCTTCCCGGATCTCCGTCACCCCTCCGCCTGATCGGTGCATCCGAAACGAACACACCGGTGGGATATCGGTAATGGCGTAGCTAGAAGGTGGGGATTCCGAAGTGTGGGGGCCGGTGCAGAGAGTAGATAAATGTTGACTTTTTCAAATCTCCTCCATATCTTCGAGGTCGTCCACGATGGGGAAGTCGCCAACCTCGACTCGATCCGGCCTGACGAAGACGCCATGCTTGAGTTGAGACTCTTCGCCCCAGTACCGAGTTCCTCCAATACTTCCATCATTCTTGCCCACTGGCTCGTCCAGGTGAACACCAATCCAAGCACCGATGCTGCCCGGGATCTCCTTGATCTCACCCACGTACTTGACCACCCCCCTTCTCGTGTCATCTTGGCCAACTCTGCATCGCTTTCCAACCTCGATTCCGCGTTGTTCAACTTCCTTGGCAAACGCAGCGATCTTGGCCTGCTCATGGCTTGGAGCGTCGGGGTCGAAGCGTCCGAGCTTTTGGGCCTTCTTCCACGCCAGAACTGAATCGGTCTTTTTCTCGTACTGTTCCTCTGGCATCACATACTTGTCCACGCCAGCGGCGTTGAAGTTGGGCCTCGCCGAGGGAGGTCGCAGGTCGGTGATCTAGCGCATAGTCAGCATTGGCTCTCTTGACAAAACGTCGGGATGAGCCAGTCTCACTTGGAACTCTGCATAGGGTGCCAGAGGATAATTCTGCAAATACGTAGTCTCCTCGTCCGCTGCTTCAATCGGAATGGTTTCATTCGTCAACGTCTTGAGGGTGATGCGCTGCGAGGAAGGGGGAATGCCCGTGATAGGCTCCATCTTGGTCTTTAACTGGGCGATGGACCATGAGGGCGTGATGCGACGTTCCGAGGAGGAATACTCCGACGTCACGTACATAGGAACGTCCGACATGCTGATAGGTAGCTCTGCGTGAAGCTTTGGCTAGTGAAATATATGATGATAGATATCCAGGAGTGACAACGGGGTTTGGGCAAACTTTGGGCGCAAGGAGAAGTTCATTTGACCGGATGACGGCGATGGGGAACAGAGGTATGGACACTACCTACAGGCGCCAACAACAACAATGTGGAGCCAATTGAACGGTCCAGGGCATTGAGTTCTGTTTATTAATTCACCCGACAGAGCGTAGACCTGGACAGGCACGAACTGAAGAGTACACAGTCGATGATTGTGTAGAGGAGCCTGAAGTAAACAAGCAGTCGTATTTCAAGCCACGCACACTCAGGATATTACTATTCATCGTGGGCTTCAAGACACCTTGATCCTTTGCCGTTTGTTTACAAAGACAATGCCACAGTTCGTCGGGTTGCACATGCAAAGAGATAACGAACTTGATACGCGCTATCATCCAGACAGTATATTACATGACATGGCCCCACAAACGCAGGGGAAGTATGGTGATGCTGTAATTACCTGTATGTCATATCTACCTCTGGAAAGTGTATGTTGCACCACCGCCACCTTCCGCTTGCCTTGGTGCCACGAGAGATCGGTTGCTCCTTCTTCCTCTTAGTAACGAACATCATCTCCTCCACAACTGCGCCTGTCGTGGCATCACACTGCACTGCACATCATCCACAGCGTGGTCCTCGCCCGTCGCTGGCCCTTTCCCTTTGGATGGATGCAACGTCTAGGCTTTAGAACACACGCGGGTTCATTAGGGTACACAATTTGTTCTTCATATTTTCCCACTTCCCTAGTTTGCACTTCCGAGCCGAACCTATTATGCCACCTCCAAACAGTCGCTTTCTCATTTCCATTCTCCCTCCCCGGGGCCATGTTGTACTCAGGTCACTTGCCTAGTCCAAGGCCTTTAACCTTCACTACATACCCACTCATCCCAGTTTGATTGCATTGAGCCAACATTCATGGGCGCTGGCTTCGCTCTTCCGTGCTTGCCTGGATCCAATTGCCTCTGCGCCTTGGAGAATCATCTTGCCAACCCCCAAAATCCATGTCTCAAGGCCTCGATCGCCAATACGGAACAAGAGAACAAAGCCATTGCGGCACACGCGTCCGGAATCAAGCCGAGAGTCTGCTTCTTACGACTGGGAAGTAAAGCGAGCTGGACGCACTGCGATCCTCGGCCTACGATACCATTGGGTCTCGTCCGTTTGTAAGCTCGGACAACAGGAAGCCATGTCCTTGGGAACACCACGGCATCGCAGGCACATACGGGCGGCCATCATATGCCGTCAAACCTGAGATTTATGGCAAGCAAGACTTCAAACGCCCCCACGAACCACCATTGGCCAGCTCATCTTGCCCTCCTCCTCCACAACCATTTCGGCATGGACTGAGGCTGCAGACAATGCAGGCAGGCTACCACTATGCCATGCTACCTTACTGCACCTGGCACATTGAGCAAGACGCATCTATCCGTCTCCCACGCCTGGACTGGGGAACATGTCGATGTCCGGATCAAGGAGACAGTCAACCACTCAGAGCTTCCCTCTTCGTCTCTGTGCAAACGGCCGGACCATCATGAAACACAGATCCCAAAGGTTCGTTGCAGAACCTGACAAGTCACATTATCCTTCAAGATGCTTCTCCTCCTCCATGTTCCATTCATTCCTTGCCGTTTCCAATCGGCGTTGCCTCTCGCACCCCGTCAAGGGAAACCCAGATGAGGCTGCTAAGAAAAACACATAGCCGCAGTCCTTAACAAGCGATGCCTTATACTCAGCCGCTGACTTTGCTCTCTCTCTCTCTCTCTCTGTGTGTGTGTGTGTCTCTCTCTCGCTCTCTCCTCTCTTAAACCCCCCAACCCCTAGCCTTGACATCCGCTCCTTGGTGATGCTTTGAAAGGGTTTGATTCTGACGAGCTTCTTTGTCTGCATAGGTCGGCTGCAATGGCCTCTACCCAGATCAGCTTTAGCTAAATGTGTGCTTTGACCAGACAATCAGGCACCACATTGGGTCAAACAGGCGCCCTCCGAAACACTGTGTACAAACCGCAAAGACGCGCTCCCAAGACGAACAAGGACATGGCCTGAAAACTATTCACCCACGTATGACTGTGTAGAGGCATGCGTGCTTTCTACATGCGCTCTCCAAGATCTGTCTCGATGCTGTTCACCGCCACGTCGGGTTCCCGTGAATTCACAATGTCTGCAAGACTTTGCTTCATTTACCATGCGAGAACAACGGCGAGGGACGGCAAGTTATTACTTCGACCAGGTTCAGCCCTGGCCTGCGGGAGTGTGCCTATCGCTCAGACGTGGGGTACATGGGAGGTACGACCGAATATGAGAGCGCTTTTTGGGCAGCCAATACCACCTTTCCGACCAATTCGAATTTGGGGTCGGTAATGGCACGGTATGGGCATTGTTGCCGCCATCAAACGGAACTCGCGTCGAAAAGAAGAACCGTCTATGACAATTGGAGGCCAATGCATCCGAATGCCCGCGTATGTAGTCGCTGCAAGCTTTAAACAAAACGACAAGGGCTTGGGTGCGTACATCATTTGAGTTACAGGTACATACTTCATAGCGACCATCAGCGACAACTAGCATGTATCGGCTGGACCACTGCAGCGAAAGCAAACCGATTTGCTTCCAACGGGCTGTTGGGTGGTATCCCGCGGCTGTTCCCTTCCCTGTGGATGCCACTAGCACTCGGTCAGCCGGCGAATGGGTATAATGGACGAACAGGACTCGGGAACACAGAGGGTCTCTGTGCAGTTCGTCTCACAAGTTTAGCTATCCTTGAACACCCAGATGAGGAGCTACGCTGTTCGGACTCAGCTACATTGGTCATGAATCGAGATCGGCTGACATCGCAGATGGCAATTACCAATCTAGATGATGTTACAACAAATGCAGGTAGCAAACGAAGCAGGCTCGACAGCTAGTCGCTGCTGTATTCGGGCAACAACAGCACAACAACAAGCGGAGAAATGCCGTCATCCTGAATATGTTTCCCTTTGTTTCGGTTCGTTGTCAGGTCTTCACTCGTCTGTCACCAGCCAGCTGGCCAGCTCATCTTTTCACAAGCTACTTGAGTCATCCCAACATATGGGTCCTGGCTTCATATACTTTCCTTGAGGCTGTGTCTTCCCTCCCGACAACGTGCAACTATCACGGCTTGCTGCTTTGGCTACACGCCTTGTTTATTGTGGTGTGTGGAATGAGTCAACAGAAAGATATGACCGCTTGGACCGTTTACCGTGCACCAACTGTGCCTATCAGGTTCCCCAAACCCATAGAGGAGGCTGACACGCAACGAGAAGCCAATGGTCCGTCGCATAAGATCGAGAGGGTACGTGGGCGGTTCAACCGCTGCCAAAGCAGTCCGCTCACAGGCCGTGGCCGTCATGTTGGCCATACCTGATACTGTCTTCGTCGAGGCCGAGCAATCCTAGAAGCTGCAGTTCGAACCAATGGTAACATGAAGCATGGCCATCAAGAGGCTTCATAAAAGGCGAACTCTCTTCCTTTGGTCTAGCCGCCCAAACCCACGCCTGGAGGAGCACTTGGTCCATCACCGAGCAATTCCTATCTTTCTCCAGAACAACAAGCTCGTGGGGGATTGCGAGTCCTGATCCTCTTCCGTGCGAGGCGGTCCTACTGCCCTTCATCAAGGGCCCTGATCCTTGGTGTACGAAAGCGAGAAAACTGCAACAGAAAGTTGACCGCTAGTTCATCGGTTCTCGGTGTCCCAAGCAGTGAGGCCGTCCGTGACTCCGTGGTATTGTGTGGCATAAATTGCTAAAGGTTGCGCTGAAACTCTGCCACAAGGAGCATTTGGCCGCTTCCGCAAGCACAATTCCATTGTTGACGATTGTCTAAAACGGCAACCTGACAGGGCCAAAAGTCAAACGATGCCCAAGACAACCTAGGTTTAACAAAGAGCGTGGTCAGATTTCAGAGCAACAAGTTCCGAGACGCACAGACAATTGAGGCCGTTTAGTCACCGCACTGTCACCGATTAGCAACGAAACCCCTGTTCCGCATCCGACTTGTTGTGATGGTTTGATCGCCATGTTCAGTCGACGTCGTGTCCGTGTAGAAGATGGAACGCTTCAGAAAGCCATCATCCATGCAACTTACCATTCCTCCAAGCTCGGTGGAGAGCTGCGTCACTTCTGTCCCTTTTGAAAGGTGGTAAAAGACTAGGCCATCTCCCAAGATACTCGCATCGTTGCGCACAATGGCAGTCAAATTCTAAAATATGGTTAGCAATCAAGGGTACTGTATGAACACCCCAAGAACAGCCTCAAACCCGTCTGCAGCAGTATGGATCATCACCTTGCTCCGAAAGAATCTTGGGCCAGCAAAAGCTCATGTCTTACGGCTGCAAAGCCGAACGATGACTATCCTTGGGCCGACATGGGGGTGTTGTTGGAAAGCGGAAAAGGTTCGCGTGCCGCGCTCCAGCTTTTCATTCTTTTGCACCTTGATGACTGCCCCCGTTGCGCCAGGCGGAATCCACGAGCGGAGGAGAGCTCCATACCAGCACAGCGATGTCGCTCGTTATTTCTAACAAATCCGTAATGTACGGCGAATTTTGACTCAGTTCGAGGCTCCGCAACCGTGAACCAGGACGTTCGAGTCCAATATCTGTCTAACGCACAAACAAAGGGTTTATTGAGGGATTGGGGATCCAACACAAATGGGACCACGAAACTAGCAAACATCAACGGGTGGTACCGTCGTAATGGAGGGTGGCGTGTGCGTCAATGTTCCCCACTAGATTCTTGAGGGTTTTTAACGTCTGCCAGCTTCGCGGAAGGCCTAGCAAGTATTCATGGGTACTTGACAAGACGCAGTCTCAGTATCCCGCAACCTATGCATACATACCGAACATCAAAGTTTGATCTCCAGCCCCTGTAGGTATCTTACCATCCATCAGAATTTTTGGCCAACCTGTTCCATCTCTTGGGCCTTGCTGGGCTTGGCTATTGCTACCTAGCCCTGATTCTATCTCCCCCATTGTACCACCAAGTCCTCAACTGCCGCCCGTACGCGGCGCTGACGACAGTTTGATACAGTGGTACAGGAAAAGAATTGTCGATAAAGCCCAACCGTACCATTCAACTACACATTACATTTTGTTCAATCTCCACCCAACCGTTAGCATCGCCGTAAAAGTCTCAAACGGCGCCAGGCCTAACAGCGTATCATGACAGTGTTTTCCATCCATCATACACTAAACCCTTTATGACGCGGGAGACTGCGCACCGCTTGCGCCCTGTTTCTTGGGAAGCGAGAAGGATACTTTTCGACTGACAGGAAAAGGTGATGCGTGGGAAGGTGTTGGCCCGGTACACTGCCATGCTTTATGCATGACTTCGTGTCATTTACCCCTGGTCGACTCCCTCCTAGCTTGCATGTAAGCCAGGTACCAAACAGTTCCCGTCCGGCAGCTGAGCCTCTGGGGAAGATTTCTGTCCTGTACAGTCAGGAGTTCCTAGCCATGACGGGTTCCGATCGGTCTACAGTCCGGAAGAAAATTGGCTGCCTCTTCGGTGACGTGTGCTTTGCCGAACGCGGGTCCGGAAACTGCTTTCACAGATCTTCATGCCCCACCGTTCGATAGCGGCATGGCAGCTGGAACAGCAGTGGCTTTGTGAGAAAATCGTCCTGGGTGGTCAGTCAGCCTGATGTTGTTACCGTCCTGTCGCCCAAGATGCTGTGTGGTAGGACTATAAGGCTCAAAGTACCTACTTAACGCCGTGAGCACTCCATAACGGACCAAGCTCAACGATATACCCACTCTGGATTGTGGACGTGGGGCTGCCATGAGATGGAGACCGACCTGGTCTGGAACTCTGGATGTCTCTCCGGTGTGTTATTGCTCTAACACGCCGACCCCCTACCCAGGCGCTCCCGTCTACAGGGACCTCCATGACATCTAGGTTCCATTCAGTACATGAGAGGTTCTCACCAGTACTCCATGTTGAACAAGCACGCACTCTTTATACTCTCACCCCCCCCCCCCCCCCTTGTCCTGCTCATGTATGTACATATGTGCTCTCTTGGCTACGATTATGATGCTCTCTGCATTTGTATCTTTTGATGCTTCTATCGTCCCTAGTCTGTATCCATCTCCTTCACAGGAGATCCTGGTCTTGTCACGCACCAGCCTCGCCGCCTGCGGAGGTATACAGTCTTGAGCTTGCAACTCGCCTTTCATCCCAATCTGTAAAGCGCATGTTCCCGGGAACCGCTCAAAACCTTCTTCCTTGCTTCCTAGCTCTGACCTGGCACCGGACGAAAGCTCAAAGTATGGAAGATTAACCCATTCCTGAACGGAGCTCCAGTGGACCGGTTTATAGATAGAGCAGTCATACGAATTGGCTCTCCTTTTCTGCCTCATTAGTATCGCTCAAGTCCATTGGTCTGAATATCACCAATCAACAAGCAAAACATCTCGTTCAAGAAGATAATCGAATAGCCCCTTCCGGCTGAGTCCCTTTTCTCGGTCGAAAAGGCACATCTTTGGATCGTTTTCCTTCCCCACATGTCTTTGCGCCTCGAGACACCCTTCAACGACAAATCATCCCTCTCCAACGGTCTCACAACCAGTCTTGACCTGCATTGGCAGAAGGATTCAAGATCCACCTATTCAGCTTTCATAGCACTCTTGAACAGCCCCGAAGAACTATAACTTCGACGTATCCTCCTCGAGAACTACTCGATCATCCATCACTCCAAGCCAACCGTGCCAGCCAAGACAATCCAACCGCGAGCCTACCCTCCCTTGGTCTATGAACAACTCCCTATCTTAGTGGTGCCTTTGTAGATACCGCCATCGTGGATATCGCATCACTCCTCAAACGTTCCGACTCAGATGAGGCCCCCGTGGCTCATTCCCAATACACATCCGCAACGACAATACCGCCTACCACGACGGTGGCACCACCTGCTCTTGGCGGTTCATCATTCGCCACGTTTGCTCCATCCACTGGCACCCGATCTCCGAGGTCTAGCGGTGCCGGCGGACCAGGAGCAGGAGGCAGTTTGGGGAAATCAGGATCAGGAAGCGTCAACTCAGTTCGTCCTGGAAGCGGCGGGAAACGAACCATGCCACCGCATACATCCGAGTCGCCAGCCAAAAAGCAGAGCAAATGGTCGCCCGAAGAAGACGCACTGATCATCGAGCTTCGCGGAAGCGGGATGAAATGGGATGATATTTCCAAGCGTCTACCAGGTCGCAGCTCTATCAGCTGCCGTCTTCACTACCAAAACTACCTCGAGAGACGCAGTGAGTGGGACGAGGAGCGCAAGAACAAGCTGGCAAGGCTCTATGAGAGGTAAATTTAAACCCTGTTCTCCCAACAAAGACCATACCTGACAGTCCACAGGTTTAAACCCGAAATGTGGGCAAAGGTTGCTGAAGAAATGCAGGTTCCCTGGCGTGCCGCTGAAGCAATGCATTGGCAGTTGGGTGAAGTCGATATGGCCAGACGAGCGGGAGTTGTTCCCTTCGCGCTGACTACAGCAGCCTTGGGTGATTCTTCGGTCATGCACCATCGAATGCCTACTTCGAGAGGCCATCATGGTCACTCCCAGTCTCAAGGAAGCCTCCCGAGAGATATTCCCACTATGTCTTCACCAAGGTACAGCCGCGGCCCCCCTGGACCTTTCATACCACCTCCTTCGTCCGGCGGACGGCCACTGGCAGCTCGGCGCGACAGCTTACCGACACGATCGTCCTTTGCACCACCCCCTCCGCCACACCATCATAGCGACCCCAGCGGCTATACGTTGGCGCCAGCTATAGGTCTGGCTCCCATCCATACATCGAGCTATACTCATCAGAGCCGTGGGGGGATGCTGCCAAGCGTCGCCGAATTGACGACCGGAGTAAGCCCCTACAGCACGCCTGCATACTCGACGGGTGGCATGACCAGTATGGTGAGCCCAACCCACAGTGACACGACGAGCCCTGGACCAACTCATCCTGGTTACTCCGCCTATCCGCCCTTGGAACCACTTGGAACCGTCAAAAGACGGGCAAGTCCGGAAGCGGGAGGGATACGTGAGACAAGCAGGAGACGGCATCACTTCCAGTCTCGACAAGAGGATGGTTACTCGTCTCTTGGACCGCCACCTGGCATGACATCGTCACGACGTGGACAGAGATTGGAGTGAGGGAGCCAGTCAAGAGCAAAACAAGCTGTGGACGGTGTGATTGAAGGAAAATCTAGACTGCTTCTGTTGGACGACCTATCACGCATAAGGTTACGTGACTGAGCTCGAATACTCTGAGACCGAGGACAAGCTTCTCACCATCAAAGCTTCCAGCTCGAGCCATGACGAGTGTGTTTTTCATTCTTCCAGACACGCCCCGCCTACGTGTTTGCTGTCATCAGCCATTCAATAAGCACACGCCTAGTACAGGATAACTTTCGTTTTCCCTCAGCATTACGATTAAACAGGCACAAACACACAGATTCCACCTACCCCGTT